TGGGTGAGGAAGATCCCCTGGAGGAGGGTATGGCAACCCACTCCAGTATTCTTGCCTGGAGAATCCCATGGACAGAGGAGCTTGGTGGGTTACAGTCCATAGGGTGGCAAAGAGTCAGACACGACTGAAGTGACTGAGCACTCACACAAAAATTGAACAATTATATAAATGCTACACAAAAATAAGTGGCAGCTGATGATATTGATGAATCTCATTCTAAAATAAAAGGACAAGCATATAACTATTCAACATAATAGAATATTCAACTGAAAAGAAGAATGCAGATAATTTTTTAAAATTTGGAAACACAGTACTTCTGAAATACAAACAACAAGATAGTGAAGAGGAGAAAGGCCTGATTTAGATGATCAAATAAAAGAATTCCTCCAAAATGCGTAGGCAAAAAGGCTAGACATAAGAGGGAAAAAAACACAAGGAGAATTTATTCCAGATAAAATATCAACAAATAAGATTCAGATAGAGAATGGGGAGATATGTATGCAAGAATACTGCACAGAAAAAATACTTTGTTGGAGAACAAAATGAGAAAATAGACTCTAGAAACTAATTGCACAATAGAAGATTCATGACATGCAGCTGAGGCTTTAAAGGGAGTATCAGACTATCTTGCTAGAGTACACAATTGCAACCACTAAATTATCAGGGAGTAGGGGGTTAAACATACTTTCTAGAAAAAACAAAACCTAACCAGAATCTTACAAAAGATCCTAGAAAAGGGAAGTGGCTTGGAAGAACTCTTAGAGATATAAAATGACATGATCCATGACCCATTCTAGTAGCTATGTGTTTATTCATTTCTTCTGCAGGGGACCCCAGTTCGATTCCTGGGTCAGGAAAATCCACTGGAGAAGGGATAGGCTACCCACTGCAGTATTATTGGGCTTCTCTGTGGCTCAGCTGGTAAAGAATCCATCTGCAATGCAGGAGACCTGGGTTCAGTTTCTGGGTTGGGTAGATTCCCTGGAGAAGGGAAAGGCAACCCACTCTAGTATTCAAGACTGGAGAATTCCATGGATTGTATAATCCATGGGGTCACAAAGAGTCGAACATGACTGAATGACTTTCACTCTTAGACTCTGTCTTAAAAACCCTGTGGTGGATTTCCCATCTATATTTGCATTTAGTAAATACGACTTTCAAGAATTTTAATAAGAATAGAAAGCCTTAAGTTACATTTTTTTCCTACAACATAAAGATTTCCCAATTAGAGTCAGGGAATCTTGGATGATGGTTGGGGGCTTGAGTAGGTTGAGGGCCACCCTTCTGGCATGCATGTGAGCCCGCCTATGAGTTTTCCATGTACTTATCAAAGTTAAACCTATATGATCTCTATCACAAGCATGTTTTGCTACTTATCAGGTGGCGCTAGTGGTACAGAACCTACTTGCCAATGTAAGAGACATAAGAGATGGGCATACACAAATGAATGATGGCGTTTCGGCCATGAAAATAGCCAGAGATATTGATCAATTTCACCATGGGCAATAGGATCATTGCCAACACACACACAAATACACATACATATATATCCCATTCATGAGAAACGCTGGGCTGGAAGAAACACAAGATGGAATCAAGATTGCTGGGAGAAATATCAATAACCTCAGATATACAGATGACGCCACCCTTATGGCAGAAAGAGAAGAACTAAAGAGCCTCTTGATGAAAGTGAAAGAGGAGAGTGAAAAAGCTGGCTTAAAGCTCAACATTCAGAAAACTAAGATCATGGCATCCAGTCCCATCACTTCATGGCAAATAGATGGGGAAACAGTGGCTGACTTTATTTTGGGGGGCTCCAAAATCACTACAGATGGTGATTGCAGCCAAGAAATTAAAAGACACTTACTCCTTGGAAGGAAAGTTATGACCAAACTAGACAGCATATTAAAAAGTAGAGACATTACTTTGCCAACAAAGGTCTATCTAGTCAAGGCTGTGGTTTTTCCAGTGGTCATGTATGGATGTGAGAGTTGAACTATAAAGAAAGCTGAGTGCCGAAGAATTGATGCTTTTGAACTGTGGTGTTGGAGAAGACTCTTGAGAGTCCCTTGGACTGCAAAAAGATCCAACCAGTCCATCCTAAATGAGATCAGTCCTGGGTGTTCATTGGAAAGACTGATGTTGAAGCTGAAACTCCAATACTTTGGCCACCTGTTGCAAAGGGCTGACTCATTTGAAAAGACCCTGATGCTGGGAAAGATTGAGGGCAGGAGGAGAAGGGGATGACAGAGGATCAGATGGTCAGATGACATCACTGACTCAATGGACATGAGTTTGGGTAAACTCTGTGAGTTGGTGATGGACAGGGAGGCCTGGACTGCTGCAGTTCATGGCATCACAAAGAGTTGGACATGACTGAGTGACTGGACTGAACTGAACTGAATATACCCCATACATATGAAAAACACATTGGAAGGACAGAGAAACAGACCATTAAACAGACTGAAAATCAAATGATGACAGAACAATTCTAATATCTGCTCTGATTGCTTGGATAGCCTTCCTTCAAAATCTTTGCCCAAGTCACATCCTGTACCTTTAAGAAATTACATGCTGATAACACCTAACCTCTCAATTCTGTTGGGCTAAGTCCCAACTCTAACCATGTCTATACAGTGACAAGTTCTGCCCAGTGTGAAACCCAAAAGATAACATTGTTCTGGTCCCCTTTATAAGGGAAGCTGCCTGGTTTCTCCTAGCCCAGAAGCTGAGAACATTCCAGAGCTTCCTCCAAGATGCTGCTGATCCTGCTCTCAGTGACCTTGCTGGCCCTGAGCTCAGCTCAAAGCCTGCTTGATGGTAAGAAAAAGAAAGGGGAGAGTGCTGAGACTCTGCTTGGGGCTTGAGGGATGGCACTGCAGTGAGCAAGCGGCTAAGAGAGACAAAAATGAAAGATGAGGTACGGAGTCCTTAAGACAAGGATAAGACCCTTCACACCCTCATTGACACCAAGGCCTCATACTTTATTTAAAGTGTGACTCCAACCCAATCCAGAATTTTAACCAGAGGAATGACAAGGTAAGTTTTTTAACAAAAGTTTCTCTATGTATTATGAAGGATACATTGCAAAAAAGGAAAGACTGTAACAGAGATGTTTCTTCATGAAGATGTTATGGTAATCAAAGTAGGCAGTAGATGAGGGTGACCTTGCTAGGAGGTGCCCGATGGATGGAGGAGGTGAAGTCCATTCAGAGCTATTTAAGAGACAAAGGCTAGGATAATATCTATCTCTCTCTCTACAAGTAAACACAGAGATTCCAGGAACCAGTGGTCTCATTTTACTCCCATCCACAATTAGTATTTCAGTGTATTGTGCCCAATATTGGGCAAGCTTCTATCCACTTGGTTACCGCAGGTTGCTCTACCTTGAGAAAAATAAGTAAAGGATTTCATGAATGGATATCTTAGAATTCTCATAGGATATAAGTAAATATAAGTAAAGGATTTCATAAATTGAGAAGGCAGAAGTCCACTAAAATATGACACTGAAATAGCCCAGCACTTCACCTAAATCAGCATTACAGTTTGAGGGATCCTACGCTGCCCTTGTATCTCAGTCAGTAAAGAGTCTGCCTGCAAGGCAGGAGACCCAGGTTCAGTTCCTGGCTCAGGAAGATTCCCCTGGAGAAGGAAATGGCAACCCACTCCAGTATTCCTTCCTGGAGAATCCCAAGGACAGAGGAGCCTGACAGGCTATAGTCTATAGGGTTGCAAGAGTCAGACAGGACACAGCAACTAAGCTACACACACAGAGGGAGGACAAAACTGCCTTTTTCTCTTTGAGTTTGTGGTTGATCCTCAAAACAGGAGCATCCCTGCCATCGCTTCATGTCTCCCTCCCTTTGCAATAGCATCACAGACAGTGACTGACAAATTAACTTCGGGGATATAGTGATGTAGTTGAAGAGTCCCATTCCCTGTAGAGCAGCTGTGAGTCCTGAACTTAATTTACACTTCATCTTCTGCTCCTTTCCCTAGAAGGCATCACTGAAGACTTCCCTACCCCATATATGGCAAGACTTAATTAATTCTCATTCAACTGTTTTTTTCCATTAGCAACTTTTCATTTTTCATTTTGCTATCATCTTTGTCTTGTCAAGAACTGATTAATGCTAGAAACACTTCCCAGGAGGCTCAGAGGCCAAGAATCTAGCTGCAACACAGGAGACAAGGGTTTAATCCCTTGGTTAGGAAGATTCCTTGGAGAAAGAACTGGTAACCCACTCCATTGTTCTTGCCTAGGAAATCCCATGGACAGAGGAACCTAGCAGCCTACAGTCCATGGGGATGCAAAAGAGTCAGATACAATTAAACAACAACAGCAATTAGCTTGGATGACACAGGAGAATTCTTCCTATATACCTTCAGACCAGAAATGACTGTTGAGAACCAACCACTCAACTTATTCCTTCTTCCCTAATATTCCTCTCTCTAAATATATGGTTTAAGAAGAAATGTAAAGAAATGAAGTCTGGGTCCCTTTGTCCCTGTAATTAATTTTGCTCACTGTTATTTAGTCACTCTTAGGCAAACCATTATTTGTGTTTCTCTCTATCTCTATTATTGCTTGTCAGGTCTTAGGTGAATTCCACATATGCATTCAACTGGCCAGACTTGAAGTCACAGATGTTAGGTTACATCACTGACCCCAAATATAACTGACACCATAACTGACATTGATAATCCATTTGCTTTCTTTTATCTTTAGAAGCATCCTCTGAGAATTCTAAAATATTCAATAACTTCATTTTTGCCAATTGAGGACACCTGTTTGTCTCAAGAACACAGAATTACTATTCAATATCACTAGTATGTGGAAGAAAAGGAACCCTGCAAAATGAAGCTGAGGGTAAGAGGAAAGTTGGTAGTTGACAAGCAGGTCCTAGGAGAAAGAGACTGTCTGATAAGGTGACCAGAAATCAAAATAAGAGGGGTGCCTTCCATCACCAAATTCTTCTATTCTGGGCTGTATCCTACAGATGCAGAGAACCTAGACCAGGGCTCCCCTGAGCACTTTCAGAGACCTCCTGAAGGACCTGAAACGCCACCACCTGGAGCCCCTCCTAATGGTGAAAACCTAGAAGGTGAATCTCAGCTAGATCCACCCCCACAGGATGGTGAACCTCAGCAGGGACCACGTCCACAAGGTGAAGGACCTCAGCAGAGACCACGTCCACAAGGTGATGGGCCTCAGCGGAGACCACCTCCACAAGGTGATGGATCTCAGAAGAGACCACCTCCACAAGGTGATGGACCTCAGCAAAGACCACCTCCACAAGGTGATGGACCTCAGCAAAGACCACCTCCACAAGGTGATGGACCTCAGCAGAGACCACCTCCACAAGGTGATGGATCTCAGCAGAGACCACCTCCACAAGGTGATGGACCTCAGCAGAGACCACCTCCAAAAGGTGATGGATCTCAGCAAAGACCACCTCCACGAAATGGTGAATCTCTGCAGCGACTACTCCCACCAAAGCAACCTTGTCATCATTATCCTCCTCCACCTTTTCCTGAGAGACATCACAGACCACCACCCCCAAGACACAGCCCACAAAGACCTCCCCAAGGCCCACCAACCCAGTAATCTGGAATTCAATGAGAGGTATGACTCAAGCTCACTTTCCATAAAGGTCCTAACCTCTACAAGTCTCACACTTTATTATGTCATTGAATCAACTGAAAATATGTGGAAATTGCCTATTCTGGGACTCCAGTCTAAATATTGTTGTTCAGGTATTCTGGAATAAAGTAGCAAGACCTTGTATTTATTACATGCTAGCCGAGGTGACTCTGATTTTAAGAAACATGGACCATAGATTGCCTTTTCCCTGATGACTACCTGTCGTAAAGTGGGTTGGCGATGAAAAAGTAGAGCTGTGCTCTCCCTTGTCCTCTCCTCTCCTCCTCCTCAGGCTCAATGATGTCCCTTCTCAAGTTTCCAGCTGCCAGGCCTCTAAGGTTCCATGTGCCTGATAAATGATACTTTAATTTTTATGCCTCTGATGTTATCCAGTTTTTAAAACATTGACTTTTGATTTAATATATGCCCAAAGTAAGAAAAAAGAAAACAAGAGAAAAAAGTATAACACTAATTCTTAACAGCATATTACATCCTACCTTCCCACTTCCTTCCCCAAAGGCCACCACAATTAGCTCCTTTGAACATCCCCTTGGGAATATTTAGACTTCCTGGGTAGCTCAAATGATAAAGAATCTGCCTGCAATGTGGGAGACCTGGGTTCGATTCCTGAATCAGGAAGATCCCCTGGAGAAGGGCATAGCAACCCACTCCAGTATTCTTAGCTGGAGAATCCCATGGACAGTGGAGCCAGGCAGGCTACAGTCCATGGGGTTGCAAAAAGTCGGACACAACTGAGTGACTAACACACACACACACAAAAACATATGTTATCTTTTTATTTGCAAATGATATACTATTTTATTTACATATCTATAAGTTCTTATTTCAAATAACATATTTTGGGGGATCTATTATTTATTTTTATTGAAATACAGTTGATGTACAATATTATACTAGTTTCAGAGGTACTACTTAGTGATTCGACATTTATATACATTATAAATTGATCAGTACCAGAAGTCTAGTAAGCATTTGTCAAATAACTTATTTCTTAGAAAAATTCCATATCATTTTCTAGAGCTATATGGATCTGTTTGCTTCTGGTTTTATTTTCATTTTAACTGTATTCTATTCCTTTGTCTGACTGTGCCATGATTTCTTTAGCTAAAGCTCTGTCAATGGACATTTAGGCTGGCCTTGGTTTTTTTGCTATTATAGGATATACTGCAGTAACCATCTTTGTAAATGTGTATGTTTGAACATTATAAATAGCAGCCTAGAGATAAACAACCTAAGGAAAAACTTTCTTCATCTTGCAAGCAACAATTTAGAACTCACTGTCTGTTACATGCATACGAATCATCAACAAGAATATTAGAAGACTATAGGACATGGAGGAAGAAGAGCAAGTGAGAAGTTGGGCTCTCATCAACTTCCTTTCAGTTACCAGCAGGGCTATGAACTCAGTTTCCAACACTCGCTGAACTTCTCTTTTTTTGTTTCAGAAAATATGAAGATATGTGTCCTTCAGAAAGCCATGGGAGAAGGCAGTCTATCTTCCATTTACCAATAAAACAATCAGCATCTAATGTCTAAGTGTCATGTCTCATTCTGGGTGTTTGTGAGTCTGAAACTTGAGGGCTATGAACCCAGCATAGGAGCATCCAAGACCCGTTCTCATCAATGGGTCCAGATGGCTTCCTCTGGGGCCACTTTCCTAGGAAACATTTATTTCCTTCGTTCTTTGCTTGAGGACAGGAATGTGTATCTCCTTTCAACGTGCTTTTGCCTCCTCCTTGCCCCTAAAACCGTTACTCATAAGCCAGGTAACTGCTCCTCTCCCTCCATGGTTTCTACAGCACTAAGGCCATATTTTTTTTTTCACGCTTTTAACCAAGACTCTAGTAATGTTAGGGAAATAAGGAAAATATTGCAAATGTAAGAAGTTGCACAGGATAGAAATTATTAAAATTTCCAAAATAATTGATGCTATTGCTAGGGAGATAAGGGTGGTTCTAGGTCCTTACTCTCTGGAGTCTACTATACCCCCACCTCCATATTTTTTTAAAACATTTCTCAGTTTTCTCCCTCCTTAGATCACCTGCCTTTCTTTAACAAAACTGGAGTGTATTTCTTAAAGGAGGTGATATGCTCGAAAGGAAATTGGAGTTCTTCATACTTTAGTTTAAATCCTATATCTTTATGTTAGCTCTGGACTCTTAGCAAGATGCTTCAGGCCTCACAGCCTTTGTTTACTCATCCATACAGTGAGGATAATAATAATATCTACCCTAGAGGATGAAAAATAATGAGTTAACATACATAAAAACCATTTACATAGACAAGTTAACGTTATGGGGAAAAAGACGATGTCCTTCTCTAGAATAAAAATGAAACAACTGAACATAGGAAGGAGCCAAAGCTTATATCATTTAGATTGTTCTCTGTAAGGTAAACAGTTGTTGTACAGTTGGTAAGCTGTGTCTTACTCTATGAGATCCCATGGACCGTAGCACACCAGGCTTCTCTGTCCTCCACTGTCTCCCAGAGTTTGCTCTAACTGATGTCTGTTGAGTCAATTATACTAGCTATTTCATCTTCTGCTACCCCCTTCTCCTTTTACCCTCAGTCTTTCCCAGCATCAGGATCTTTACCAATGTATAGGCTCTTCTCAATGGGTGGACAAAATATTGGATCATCAGCTTCAGCATCAGTCCTTCCAATGAATATTCAGGGTTGATTTCCTTGAGGATCCACTGGTTGATCTCCTTGCTGTCCAAGGGACTGTCAAGAGTCTTCTCCAGCACCACAATTTGAAGCATCAGTTCTCTGACGCTCAGCCTTCTTTATAGTCCAACTCTCACATCAATACATGACTAGTACAGTAAACAGGAAAACAGTACAAAATGATGAATACAAAATTCCCCAGCTTCTCCCAGGGCATTAAAAGAGGCCTGTGAAATAGGGGATCCCAAATTTAAAGTAGAATCAGCTTTGTAGAAAATGTAAATCTGACCAAATATAAGACATAAAAGTTGTTTAAGTCCTCATTTAAATAAACCAGTAATTGTTGGACAAAAATGTACATTTTTCATACAGCCAGGATATTGTTAGTATAGACTAGGTTTAGCTAGAAAACAAAGAAATTTAGTGAAAATTTAAGAAAAATGCAAACTTTTTCTTTCCCTTAACATGAACTTGAGTTTCCATCTAGATTAGCTTACTAAAAAGACAAATAGAATTCCTATAATGTTAAGAGGTTCTTTTAGCAGTTCTCAGGACTGTTAAGTGGTAGGTTTGAAACTACAAAATTTGCTGTAAGAAACTATATTTGTTAATTGTTAAAAAGAAACACAGGGCTAGTGCATTTAAAATTATTATTCCTATGTTTGGAAAAATATGTTATTTACTCATCAATCTTGTGAAAATTACCCAACTGATTATGAACTCACAGTCATGTTTTATTTGATGCAGCCAGTAAAAAAGCACTGTGCAGATTCTTCTCCTAAAATTATGAACATAGCTAACAGTTGTTTGCCTGGGAAAATAACTTAAAAGTATAAAAAGACAAAACAAACAAACAAAAAACAGAGAAGCAAAGGCTGATTATACAAGTTCTTTTCATCTATCAAGGAATTTGTCCTTTTAACCTAATGATATTGGAGTATTGTATATTGGAATGCTATCAGAATGTTAAGCCAGGAAGTTACAGGATCAGACTGGACATTAAAAAGATCATTAAGATTTTAATTTAAATGTAGTACATTGGACACATATATTTATTTATGTTTTTACCAATGCCTGAATAAAACTATAATAATGAAATTTTAAAGTAATTAATGGCCAAGAATAAGAAGAATGTGAGAGAAGGTGACAGCAAGCAAGAAAGATGAGCAAATTCTGGAATTGGAATGACTAGATGAAAGTTAACAGAGGTAGTGAATGTGTAGAGGATGAAACCAGACATGGAAGTGAGAAGAATTGTGCAAATCAAAGTACTTCGGAACCCCCGAGATATTGTCTCTTTCAGAATATTGCATCTCCCTCTCCAGAGGTTCATGTTTATCCACATTTAGTGTAGAACCTGCATTTCCAGTTGTTTGATCCTAGAAAGGTTGATTTGTTCTTGTTAGTAAGTTTGTTCTCTCTCTCGTTCCCTGTCCATTGAATTTCCTACTAATTTTGATACAAAGTACATGGTGTGGGAAAGTCACTCAATCAGATTATGCCTTTATTCTTTCATCTGAAACATGAACATGATGCCAAAAATCAAAGGGATCTTGTGAAAACTTTCAGCTAGTATATATGAAGCATTTATGACTCAACTGGACACAAAAGCCATGATCAATAGACATGGAGCTATACAGCTGTTCATGTAAAGAAGCTTAATAGGGGGAAAGGTTAACTTGTCAACCAGCATCTCTGATGCTGTTGCCAAGGGAGGAAGACATGAAGGGAGGGCAGGGTTGCTCCTGTGCTGACAACTATGCACAAACTCAAGAGAGAAGAGGGCCTCTTGTCCTCCCTAGGATCCCTCATACCCTAATGGTTAAGTGCTGGGGCAGTTCAGGGTCATGTTTTAGTGTCCTTCTTCTCTCTTTCTTCATGAAATATTTTACTTAAATTAACGTAGTTTTTCAGGGTAGTGGGACCAGAAGTAAATACATCGAAACAATCTTGCCCATATTCGGCAGAGCATGTAGAAATATTAAATGTGGGTGGGAGTAAAATGAAACAACTGGGCTCCCAAATCTGTATATCTCCATGTAGAGAGTAAGGGGTTTATTACTGTAGTCTCTCTCTCTGAAATAGCCCTGAGTGGGCATCACCTCCTTCAGCCATTGGTATCCCCTAACAAGGCCACCGCCTACTTTGATTACCATAAGTCTTCATGAGGGAACTTCTTTGTCACAGTCAGAGAGGTTTTTGTAAAAACACAAATTTTTCTTTGTCATACCTAGTTAAGATTCTTTATGGGGCTCAAATTGCACTTTAAATAAAAT